TGGACCAAAGAGTAAAGAATATGTATGCTCCTATTTGACACAATATAAATTGAACTAATCTATAATATCCATTCACTATAATTTCTTGGCAAGGAGAATGATACTTTCTTATATATTGAATATCACAATTAAACGTTATTTTCTATAATTAGTTATTATCCAAATTATCTACTTCCTTCAATTTTCTATTAGTGACAGATAAATAACTTGAACTTCGTTGTAGTTAAAATATTACTTTTTTATTATATCTTAGTCCGTAGTATTATATTTCTCCCTGTGGGATCGATATCTAGGACTCCATTAGAGCCCTATATTACTTGAGCGATACGTATACTTGCGTTGACAAATTCGACTTTAACATTATTGAATATTATATCTATACATCTTTATTAAATCAAACATATATATATAAAGTCGCAGTCAAGTATTTGACATCGTTGCTGGAATTTAAATCTTTCAGTAGCGTCATCAAATTCTTGTAATTGTTGATTTACAAAAAAAGGTCGGTCAGTGACCATGCCTGGAAACAATGTGACCTTGCCACCTATCGAAAACCTACGAGATGACTATGTCGAATTTGATGTTATTAGGCCAACTCTAGCAGTGTTGTGGCATGGCCACACTGCAATCGGGCATGATCACACCACCCATTTCATCAACATAGCGTGACCACACCATTTTTGTTGGTGATCATGTCGACGAGCGGGAAAGTACTTTAGAAATAAAATTTTCTTGCTGAATCCATTGTTTTTGCTATGAAACTAATTTTTAGGGCTTCTTGGAGGAGGTTCTACATTAAACAATCATTGGAGGCCTACTGAAGGTAAGGGTTAGAGAGATTTTTGAACGATCTTTGTATTAGAGGCTACTGAAGGCATGATTACTTCACTCCCTTTAAGTTTTTCTTCCTCCCTTGATTGAAGCCTTAAAGGGTGAGTTTTTCTCTGTTTTATGAGTTATGGGAGATCTTTGAGATGAAGGATTGGTATTATTGTGGAGAAAAAAATTATTAAAGGTTTAACAATTTTCAATTTCTTGCAATGAAATTGAGCACATCCTGGCCTTAAGGGCAGATCACAAATCGTCATATCCCAAAAGAGCGGTAGCTTATCAGCTTTAGGCCATTAAAATGATAACAACAAAGCCAAATGATTAGATAGGGCTCCCCATGGGTAGTCAAAGGTAGGAAGGAGTGATCCTAAGAGGTAGAGGTAGCTAGGTCGAGGCACCACTGACCCGTCATCCAAATCCAATAGGACCCTAAGTCTACCCGGCATGAAGGTAGTCGACTGAACATGACCAAAGATCTCCGGTCAGCAATCCATCAATTATGATGTCGATAGGGACCTCAGTAGCCCTAAGATCAAAGGAACGAGACTCTATCGTATGACTATTGGCCGGAACTCCAAGAACTCAGACTTATACCCGCCGAAATAGCGAGGATGCTCAGGAAAGAGAAAGTAAAGAAGGTTCAACTACAAACTGGAAACACTCCAACAAAAGGACTTACTCCCCGTCTGGGTCGGGGAGCCTTCTAACACCTTAGACGCACCAGACAACCTCCTATGTAAAAAACTATATTGGGTCAGCCGGGTTGAAGAGCAAGAGGCGTTCCGTTAAGACATGTAAAATCGTGCAGTTATTTACCACAATCCAATGTGTAGAGGCCATGTTAGATATGATTGGGGATATGTCCATGCATACAACCTATTTTAAAACTGGCCCAAAAGCTATGCATAAAATAAAAGACAGGTTTTCAAATTTTTTGAATTTTTTAATCCTAAAATTTGGATTATCTTAATCTTTTATTATTAGGATTTTAGATAGAAATTTTATAATGTTAGGGTCCTTAATGAACCTAGATTATGTTTTTCGTGAGATCCCAAATGAATAGAAATAAATAATAAAAAAGCTGTCCAGGATTACACAGGCACACAGAAGAGAAAACACTTTAAATATATATAAAAGAGGCCAAAGTGTCACTGGGTTAGCAACATATCCCATGAAAGAAGTAAAGCGGTCGGGCTCCACATATACACGCCCGGTTCTGAGTCTATACAACAATGCAAAATTCAAACTTATAGTACGGGACACGAGCTCCCGCTCTTAGTCCTTCTCACGTGGTTCGATGAGTCATCAACCTAAAAAACAGTGCTATAACTCAAAGAAAAATCCAACAAAAATTAAAAGATTCAGGTAGTTTTTATCATTTCTTGCACTATAAGAGATCAAATTATTGAAAATACATTATGTGATTCAAAAGTAAGCATAAACCTAATGCCTTTTTCATTGTTTGAAAGATTAGGAATAAGAGAGCTCCAACACACCATTTGAGTCTTCAATCAGCTTGAGTTGACCGGAAATATACACTCCCACCAGGCAATTTACTGGCAAGCGAATCAGCATTGTCCGCTCGACTTCAGTGAACTAGTTACACTCGTGTTGCTAGCCGACCAGATGACCCCACTTAAACAATCAACCGATATGGTCGGACACGTTCTCCCAGTCAACTAACTCACTGATCCCAGGACACCAAAAGGTCCTTGGGCCCAACAAGGCAAATTATCGACATCACCCATGTAGTCCCTAATAGAGTAGGGGTTTCAATGTAATTTTGTGAACCACATCACCTAATTCGATACATAGGTGACCATTATGTGAATAAAAGGTTACATAATCTTAGTCAAACAGGTCAAGAAAGATCAATGTACTTGCTATAAGTTAATGTCCACTATTGATCATTAGGATATCATTTTCCCTTCTCTCTCTCGTTCTCTTTGTTTCTCTCTGTTAGACCTGGGCGTTGGTTGGGTGGCTTGACAGACTCGCCATAAGCTCACTTAAAATTGGCGGGCTTGGGTGTGGAAAATTATTTTTTTTGCGGCTCCAACTCTGCCTGAGCGTGTTTTGATTTAATCAAAGCATGACACAACCAAATCGGACCCGCCCACCCAAAACCCAGTCCGAACATAAAATCTCAAAATTTATTAAGAAATATGATTTGAGTAATGCTAATTTTTTATGTAATGCTAACGATTTGAGTGTTATGTATGTAAATATAAATGTATGGGTGTTAGATATGTAATTGCATGAGAATTATGTGATATGTTTGAATTTGTTTAAGATTTTAATGCATGTGTGGCTTCACGTTTGAAGCAAGCTGCTACAGAGAAATAGGGAAACTTCTCAAAATTCTACTATGAATTTCGCATAGATTTGTGTGTGCTTTTTTTTACTTTTGTCTTTTTGAATTTATTAATTTATGTTTCTTTCTAGAAGAAGAAAAAGAAAAAAAGTTGTTAATTTTTTTAATATTGAACTTATATCAAAATTATATTTTGCCTTTATGTGTTTCCTCTTAAGCTTTTGCATGCATATATATAGTAGAGTAAATTATGATGATATTCAATCAACTACCAACTCTTGTATTAAATTTTGTTGTGTATCAAGAAAGTCATTTTTTGTGTCTAAATAAAGCTTCATGAATGTCATTTCTTCAATAAAGAGGAAGTAAAAAATTTCCTCTTTACAATGTAGAATGTATTATTCATGAATTGTGATGATTAGAGTCTTTTTCTTCTTCCTTTCTTATAACAAAATGATCTTTCTTTTTAAGGCCGGTGGGTCGGCCCAGATCAGCCCGACATTTAGTTTGGGCAGGTTTGACTATTAGTTTTTAAATAGAAATCGGCCACAAAATTAGCCCGAACCCACTTAAACTACTTAAAAGTCGAACAAGCCTGGCCCGGCAATATTCCAATGATCTATAATTTCAAAAATATATTCATTTTGAAAGAATTAAACCTAAAGGCTTTTCAACCCTATCATTAAATGCAATAAAACAGAGAGTGAGCTTACGGTTGGTGGCGGGAACAATGCAGCCTCATCCAGCCAGTCACCTAATCAGATTGGACGGATAGGATCAGCCAGGGGCCCAAGGAAAGGCTCAGAGATGCAGGCCCGCGTGACGGCCTCAAAAGGCCCAGCCCCGCCCTTCTTTCCCACAGCTCCAATCCCTCAACTCTCCTTCCCTTCTTCTTCTTCCTCCTGCTTCCCCATTCTGAAACAAATATCAGGAACTGTGTAAGAAAACAAATGGAGATATGGCGAGATGGAGTCTCGAGGTCACCACATTGTCGGCATCGAGATCACCCCTCCTTCTCCTCTACTCTCCTCGACACCATCTATCGTTCCATCGACGATGAACACTTCACCAGCGGAGGAGTAGACTCTTTCTCTGCTAAGAAAAAACAGAGCGACCCCAGCAGATTGATTGCACCGCTGAACCAATCACAAATGACTCGAACGGGAAGCGAGTACTGGAGCAGAAGGAAGCCCTGCTCTGTGACAAAACAAACAGCAAATCGATCAGGTACCGAACACTGGACCACCGCTACCTCAAGCTCCTCCGACGGGTCAAGCTACGGAGGTTTCTCCTCCTCCGAAGCAGAATCGGTCTCAAGCCGCCTTCCCCCAACCAGATTATCAACCAACCTGGCCCGATCCTGCCGAAACAGGCCTGCAACATACCCACCGCAACCGCAGCTGCCGACCGTCACCAGAGTCGACGATATGAGAGCGAAGAAGGAACGACACGGCTCGATTCGTAGCCGGTTACTGAGCGAGCTAAGAAAAGGGAGAGCGCCTGCGTCTCCCGGCGCTCGCCTCGCTAACTTTCTCAACTCTCTATTCCCTGCGAAATCCAAGGTCTCAAGAAACCCCGTCGACAGCGTCGATAAGCCGGCATATTCTTCACCGTCGGCTTATTCTCGATCCTGTTTGAGCAAGACGCCTTCGTCGAGGGGACAGCCGGCGTCGGAGAAGAGAACCGTGAGGTTCTGTCCAGTTAGTGTGATCGTCGATGAAGATTGCCGTCCTTGCGGCCACAAATGTGTGTACGGCGGAGATCGACTTTCCCCCGCGCTCCCGGCGGCTGCGCCGCCGGTAAGAAGTGCGACGGAGTTGTTGAGGAGATCGGAACTGGAAGAGGAGGAGGAGGAGGACGCGGATGCGGAGAGCGATTCGAGCTCTGATTTGTTTGAGTTGGAGAATCTGGCGGTTGGGCGGTTCCAGGACGAACTGCCGGTGTACGAGACGACGCGGCTGGGGATCTACAGTGGTGTTTCGCATCGTTTGGTTTTATGACTAAAATACCCCGACAAAATCTGACAGTAAGGGGGAAGGTGGGTTTAATAAAATAATGAATAAATAATAATGGAAATTTTGATGTCTGTAATTTTTGTTTTTGGGAAGTAATATTAGTTTTGTTTTTATTGACTGCATTTTATATGAAGTAAATTATCATATTTGATAGGGTGCAGTTCAAAAATACGACCCTAGATTTATAACATATTAATTGAAAAAAAAATAAAAATTATTAAAAGTGAATGTGGAGTGCTCATGAGAAAGTGATCAAATTTTAGGAGTAAAGAAATTATTTTGTAAATATTGAAATATGTTTAATCCAAAATTATATTAGCATAAAAAAAGGAAAGATAGAAAAAGATAAAGAGATAAAAATAGAGAGAAATGAATAATAATCAATCATTTCATATTGAAAAAATGTTCAATCAATTTATTGATGAGAGTCCATAATGATGATATTATATTTTTGTTTTTATTTGAAAGGGGCATGTATTGAGGGAATTTCTGGTATTTTACTTGTATGAGCTTATTGTTCAACTGTTTTTTTTGGCTCGGTCAGCTAAGCTTAGATGCTTTTGGGTTGACGGGAACGGCTTGATCGGTTGAGCTTGGTTGTCATGCGTGATTAACTGATCTACCCTGGCTGCAATTATTGATCCTTGGTGAGGAGCCTCTTGAGTGTCCTTGGGGTGGTAGGAGATACGATGGAATTGAATTTTTCCTTGGATTAGCTCTGCTGAAGGGTAGACTAACGTATTAAGTTTGTTTTCTTGTGGTGCCTATCTCGAATACTATTTTTTCTCATTTCTGGCCGAATGGCTTGTGCTTGGATGATGCAGTCGTCTTTTTGTTTACTTCACGATCTCATAAATTTTGCCTTACTGGCTTTGTTCATATGGCTTTGTTTGGACGGTCAAGTGGGCCATAGGATCTTCTAGTAGTGGACTAACCTTTGCTCTAATCTTCCATTCTGGATCATTAGGTCTCCTTAAGATCAGTGTTGTCTCATTTTTAATGTACATATTTTTGTTTTTCAATTCTCTTACTACTTAAAAGTGATGTTGCAATATGAATAATAGAATTTATTGTAAAAGAATATCACATTTAATTTTAATTAATGATTTCATAATAGGACTCCCTTGATTTCAGTACCTTCAGTTTTTATAAATATTGTCTGATGGACCTTCTTCTATTCCAAAATTGCTTAGCAACATTCCCCATTTGAGTTGGAAGGTTTTCAAGTGTTGCAATGGAGAACTTATCGAAACCATACGGTGATGTTTCCAATACGGTTATGATTGACTTCTTTGAGAAACCAAAGGGATGAGGCCACCTCAAAGGTGAGAGGAAGAATAAAGTCATTATGCAGATGAACAAGTTTATATTTTGACTGTCAAATCAGGTGAGATCGTTTAATTTGATCCTTTACAATAAGAAAAAAAATATTTAGTCAACTAGCCTGACATTCGATCTAATTGATCAACCATTTGTCGTGGCACAGGACCCTCCATTTAACTCGGTCTCTCAAAAAACTTTTAATGACCTCCCGTTGCTTTCGCTGGTGCCCATTAGTGAGGGTGTTACATGGGTTACAATATTTGAGTGAAATCAGCTCCTGAGTAAGAGGGGCTTCAGTCTTGCTTGTGGGATTAGCTTTTTTTTCTAATTATTTTCCATTTTACTATATATATATATATATGTATATATATATATATATATATA